ATAATTTGATTGTTAAGTAAGGCTAACTGGCTTTGTATGTTAGCCTATCTTGCTAATTGGTTTTCCATGAAAACACAAGGAAAGATTACAAACCTGTTTTCCAACAAAAGTATAATGATATGTTTTAGTCCAAATTCACTTCACAACATCAGTCGAGTCTTTGAAATAACGTATTTTTGTGATCTGACATGGTTTCATTAAACAGAATGAGGCAGAAATCATGCCACTTTATATTATTCTATACAGTGATAAAGGCTATGTCGATTATCATTGCATTTTATATCTACTTTATTCTTATAAAAATACCCGAGATGGCCTAAAGAGCACAGATAAAACCATATATTGTCGCAGTCATTGTTTATTTTATTCATGTTTCATCAGTAAAACGTCTATCTGCATGTTATTCAGCTACTAGGCTACTTCTACAGCGAAAGCTGAATTTCCTGGAACGTCATCAGTGAGTCTCATTGGTATATTCTGTTCATTTGTGTAACTTGTCTAACTTCATGTGACGATGTCCGTTAGCCCCATGTTATTTCCTAACTGTTGTTATTTTTTCAATTGCAATAAAAAAAAAAAAAAAATGCTTATATAAAAAAAAAAAAAAAAAAAAAAAAAAAAAATAGAGCTTTGAGTTTATTATTTATTATTATTATTTTATAGCCAAATTGAAATAGTCACATAGTTTTGGTCAAATTGTGCAGAACAAGCACATATTATTATTTTATAGCCAAATTGAAATAGTCACATAGTTTTGGTCAAATTGTGCAGCCCTACAAACAAGCACAGAAAACTTGGGATTTTCATTATCGCATTTTAAATAAAAATGTTTTATATTTTCTATTTTTTTTTAAATCCATCTAAAAAATAAAATAAAAAAATTCTCCAAACCGTCAATCGTTTCTCTCCCAAAACATGCACACTCTCCTGAGGTTAGTGTCAAGATTCTTTTGAATCTAAATCAGGCTAAATCACGTTGTGCAATGCGAAACAGATCAAATGTAAGGAATGAACTGTGCAACCAAAAAAAACACACACACACAAAAGAAACAGACCCTGCCATTTCGAAAGAACAATGACTGGCCAAATGTGACCAAGACGTAAATGTCACGCAGAAAAGGTCAAGCTAATTTGTGCGTTTAGATGCTGGAGGCCGTTTGTGGACACATATGGGTCAAAGATGTTAAGATGTCCGCATCAAAAGAAATGTACAAAAGTGATTTTATGTCCATAGAAAGCACATTAAATGCAAGTAAAGGGTCTAATTTTAAGGTTTCAAATAAGTTTTTGGAGAATAAAATGTCAAAATTTGGTTTAAATAATGTTACACTGTCATTCAGTGTAACACAATATTTATGTAAAAAGTCAAACAACATGCTTATTCTGACCTGTACATATTAAAATATATAAAAGAATAAGAGCATATTAAATTTTATTGTGTTTTAAATTAGTAAAACATTTTTACTGACAAATGGGCAAAATCTAGGATAGTGGCAACTTTTAAAAATGTAAGATTACAACTAATTAGTATTTGGGGTGTAAGTAATTAGTATTTTAAAATATGTCATAAATTAATTTTTATTGTAAATATGCCTGACAAGATTGTTACACTGAATGACATTTTAGTGGGCGTCTTCTGTAAATCAGGGAAAAATGTATGATATTTTTTGCTCGGAAAAACAAAAACTAAAATACAATTACATGAAACAGAAAACTTTTTACATTTTTTTTTTTCTTTTGGAAAAACAACAATTTAAAGCAGTATTGTTTGTATGCTTAAACCCTTCTTTGTCTTTGACCCATATACATCAGTACAACAAAACACACATCGAATTTAATGTGTCCGATCCGGTTCACAAGTTAAAGTCCACCGCAGCAGATTTGATAAACGGAAACCGTCCTGTGTCAGGGAAATGCAGCGTACTATTATTAACTGCCCCACACGTGTAGGATGCCGTAATAGAGTCTAAACATAGCCACCTCTGGTCTTTCTGTGCACTTATCGTAAAACGCCAGATGTAGGCAGATCTACACCTCCTTCAGTTTGCTCTTAAAAGAGTTTCTTTGTGTGCGCACAGGCCGTAATTCACCTGATTAAACAGCAGGCCGCTCGAGGTGACTGCAGGCTAACATTCATCTCCTGAGAAAACCTGGTGTATGTGTGGCCTTTCTAATTCAAGAGTCACTATTTCTGCTGCTCGTGGTTTGGTGTTCAGTATTATTATAAGTATTAGTTCAGTTTGTGTCATCCTGCAGAGTTCCTCAAATCATGTGTTTCGTTAAGGAGACGTGTGAAGTTACGCCAAATCAAATGCACCATTTTTACCTGCTCGGCCAGAAAACAAATATGCAATTTCTATCCAATGAAATATTTCGATCAAACTGCAATTTTCATGAGAAAAATTACAGTTGCCAATAATAACAATAATAATTATTAATAATTATCATTACTATCATAAATATAACAATTATAATTATAAAAATATTCAACAAAAGGAAATATCACTATTGTAGTATTTCACTGTAAAATAAAAATAATATAATACATTTTATTTTACAGTAAAACAATACTAATATTTATGGTCCCAAATTCCAATGATTATTTTAAAATGTGGCCAGCATTTATTGTGATTATATATCACTAAGACTATAATAATAATAATAATAATAATTATTATTATAAATAATAATTATAATTATAATTGTTGTTATAAATAATATATTTTATTATTATTATTAATAAATAAAAATATTCAACAAAGATAAATATTACTATAGTAATATTTAAATGTAAAATAAAAAATAATATAATATTATTATTATTATATTCAACAAAATAATTATTACTATTGTAATATTTCATTTAAAATAAAAATAAATTATTAATTATTATTATTATTGCTGCTGTTATTTTAAAACTATTATTATTGTTATTACTAAATAAAAATATTCAACAAAAATAAATATTACTACTGTAATATTTCACTGTAAAGTAAAAATAATAAAATACATTTTATTTCACAGTACAACAATACTAATATTTACGGCTGTCCTAAATTCAAAGTTTTGGCAGTTTTTGGCAGAAAACCGCATTGACCATAAAAACTTTCTTTTTTGTTGGCAACAGCCGGTTTATAAGCACTTGTTTAGGAAGATGGTTGGTGTGATGCATTCCCAAAAGCACGCTATAATTGACTGAAATGAACCGAGTTGCACTGAGATGCTAAAAACACCGGTGGATAATGAGCTGCTCACGTGTAAACGAACACAGTGCCACGCTTCACTCTCTGAAACACACGGCACATGTATTTATTTAATTAAATCAGTTTTTGTGATTTAATAATCGCACTAATCGTTACAGCCCTACCTTAACCAGAGCAATGTATATTTACTATATAAATTTCCGTTATTGGAAATCGCCATTTTAAAATTCCCGAATTTGCTCTGCATTTAAACTGTGCTGCATCGTCCAAAAGCATTGTAAGTCTAAATAGATTGTAGAAACCATTATGCTTTTGGGAAACGCAGGCTGACAAACCATACTTTGCCTATTTCATGCATCTACTAAGCATTTGCGCCGCATGTTCTGCTTAGGTTTAGGCTATTTGCATTTTGAACTTTTCTTACTGACTGTCTTCACACTTGTCACCCTAAAAACAGCACTGCTGAAGGTCTGGTGTTAAGTATACATTTCACAATGGTTGAGAGCTATCGCATGCACCATCACGCATCATGTCGACTTGTGAATTTCACAAATTCCTCGTATGTGTAAACATACCTGGCAATAAAGCTCATTCTCTGATTCTGATTCACAACTAACATCTGTGAGAAACAAACAGGAAACTCACCGCTGTAGCTTTTAACCAGCCACGTGATGCCTCGGACACCTTCAGAGCATCACTGTCTGTCATCTCAAAGGCGATGTTCCCCAAAGACAGAATGCCAGCTAGAATAGTCATCATGTCCACCTTTTCCTGCAAATGAGATGTGAAGGTCTATCAGGGTTTCTGCAGGTTTTATAAAGGTAAATTTAAGACCTTTTCAAGATACGTCAATATGGTCTCTGAATGACAGCATCTTGTATTATCAACGCTTCAAAGTTTCACATCTCCATTATGTTTTAGATCTATAAACAGAATATATATACATAAACACATTTTTTGCAATGATAACTCAAATGTGGTGATCAAAGACTTATAATGATGTGACAAACATAGGGCTATGTAGTGGAGGCAGGGTATTTAACAATTTAACAATAAATTTTATTATTCAAAATGAGTGTGACATCAGTGCATTTAACAGTAAACTTTAACGTCTTTAATGTCACTGAATCTGCTGTTAAAAATTAACCATCCAGTCATCATATCATCATGCAAAACTAAGAATTAGAATCATTCTAATGTGACGATCAAATATAGGTGCGGGCGGATAATTTGAAGCAGCAGACTCGGGTGAAGTTTGAGCTCATCCACGCATCTCTACACTACACTGACCTGGGTCCAGTAGCAAACAATTGAGCGCACTCTGCTGGACAAACTAAGTAATTACACCATTCAGAAGTATTTAGTCTGCGTTATATGTTCTGTA